AAGTCCGAAATTAGACTCCATCCTGATGAGTATACCTTTTTGGAAGGAGTATATATGAAATTTAATGGAACAATGAGGCCTACTCAACAAATTTAGGCCAGAAGAACAGGGAGGGGTACGGACAGTTGTCATTCTTAGCTAAATGCTTCGTAATGTTTTACCAAATGATAGCCGCATGCTCTAATAATATCTGTCGCATGATGGACAGAAGGGTCCACGTGAGTCCTAAAGGAGAGTATTTTTGTGTAGGGAAGAGGAAGTGATAAAGATGATTAGGAATGACATACCTAAGAAGTGTTCGAAAACGATTAAAGTTTAATCTAGTTGCAGTATTGCTGTTTGAGAACAATTCCAATAAATTATTTTCTAAACTTTATCTTAATTTCATATTTTTGTTTCTTCCGATATTATCCAGAAAACTACCGTAAATGTACCATGATTTAGTCAATCCAGATTCTGTGAAAAAAAAATTCATTTCGATTAAAGGAATTCTAAGAACCATGTAGAAAAGTTTTACATAAAGTAATCGGGAGGCCTTCTCAGGGGCTAATTCCACCTTTCATTATGATAATCTTGGCTGTGCTGATTGGGCTCACTATGGAGCGGCTGCAGAAGTGGGCTGAAGAGGTATAGCACCCTTGTTACCGTGGCGCATATCGCTTGTAGGGTCATGGAAAGGGCGTTGCAGATTTGTTTTTTTTTGACAGCCGAGCAGCGCTATGGAGGCAGCACGGAATCGTTGATTCATAAAACAATATGTAATCGGATTACAGCAAGTTGAACAGTAGGACACCAGAGTGATGAAACCGCGCATCGCTATATAGAAATTACGTTGAAAAATAATTATTTATGCCTGTCTGTAATGTTTTAAACATAGATATATACCAGCTTTTTTAGCACGAGAAAGAAACATTTATAGATTACGCATTAATGAATGATTCATTTAGTTAGGATATAGAAAAGTCATTTTTTGATTACCTTTATGCTATTCTTAATAATATAGATAAAGTTTTGAGAACTAAATAAAATTTAAGAAGTTATAGTCAGGAGCAAAATTCATTCGTCTTTTAAGTAATCAAAATTAAACATCGATACTTTGGCTCAGTTCTTTGTAAAGCAACTTTTGTAGTCGATTCCATCCACATATTTTCAATCAAGAATCCTTAAAATTAAAAGTATGACTGTTATTGAAATATCCCTGGCATAATAATTTTGTAACAATTTGAAAAATGAATTATAAGCGCTATTTAAATATATAAATTGCTTATTATGACCGCAAAAAATATCCTATCAGTGTCTAACACTAATAATAAAAGAAGCAATGAAAAATCAATTACTCTCTTACTATGGTATCTGGAATTAACTTTTTCATGGACTTATAGAATTAACTAGAATTGTTTGCTAGGTAGATTAATTTATGAGTAGTGAGTTAATCTATTTCGTAAGTAGAGACGCTTTAATTTTTATTTAAAGATCATACTCTTTATTACGTATTTATTTTAGTGATTAAGTCTAATTTAGTTACACGTATTGCTTTAAAATATTTCTTTGTATACCTTATGACTTCATTCTGGCGTTTTCTTAGCCTAAATAAAGTGTAATGAGATCCGTCTTTAGGATGCACTTGTTTACTAGAAATAAATGAAACTTATTAGCAGT